TAAAAATAAGGACAGAAATAAAAGGAATTTTGCAATGTTAAACGCTTTATTAACTGTAAGATATGGCTTAAAAAATGTACAGAAATATTGTCATGATTTTGAAATTACAGATGATATTGTTCGGTTAATGAGAAATGAACAAAATTGTAACGACGAAGAATCGCTTAGCGATGATAGTATTGATATAGATATAGATATTTAATGTGTTAAAAAAAATGTTTATAGATTAAATTATTTTACTATGAGTTCATTAAATGAATACTCTTTTGTTTGTTTGATACATACAGCGTCGGACAATAATAAAGCACCGACATTTTAATTCTTTGTAAATTATAACATAACATTTTCAAAATTTCTTTTACAAATGGATATTTTTCGAAGCATAGTTTGAAATTATTTAAGTTATTTAGTATTGTGGCGAATACTGCGGCAACACAAAGCGAACAACGAGAAATAGGCAGAATGTTCGAAGAATGACGTAGAATGTTCCACAAAGAGAAACGTCAAGTTGGATGAACACTGCGAACAGCGAGAGAAAGAGAATGAGCGATAAACTTCAGAATGTTCTAGAGTTGCCATAAGTGCCAGCGCAGGTATATAAGGGCGCCGCCACCGCGAGGTGAGGGAGTTACAAGTCAGCAAGCTACAAGTAAACTGAGCAGAGAATTGAGTTGCGAATGAGCAAGCTATAAGTTTAATTTTGTTAACAAGTAGTAAAGCGTTGTTATTGCTTTAACAAGTATTGTAAAGTGTTTTTACTGTATTAGCAAGTATTATAAATTGTTTGTTGTACAATAAAGTTAATTGTACTACAAGTTGGTCATTGTTAGCATTTATTTAACAATCCAGCGATACGAGCCCGAGTATATTTGGGAAATCCCTCAAGGTTTCGAGGATAATCGTAACAATTGGTGTCAGAAGTGGGATTGTTAAATAAATCCCGAAGGATAAACTACTGAAAATGGCGAAAATTCAGGACTTAAAGATTGAGGAACTAAAACAGGAGTTGGAAAAGCGTAATTTGGCCACCTCCGGAAGAAAAGTGGAATTATTATCCCGTTTGCGGGAGGCTATGGAAGCTGAAGGCATCAACGTGGACAAATACGACTTCCAGGGTAAATCCGACGATGCATCCGCAAAGGACGAACAGAAGGATGAGGCTGCTTGTTCGTCGAAGGATGTGCAGCAGACATCCGGGAAGGTTGAAGAACAGCAAAAGTCTCCAAGTTCATCAACAGCTATGGACATGAACACGTTATTGGCTGCCATGTCACAGATGTCATCTCAGATGCAAACACAGTTGTCAGATATTTCGTCGCAGCTACAGGCACAGAAGACACACGTATCACAGTTGCTGGAAGTCCAGGATGCAAAGATTACACAACTGCAGGAGAATTTGGCTAGAGATAACGAACAAATCAAGGATAGACAGGATAAAGTCGAGGCTAAGGTAGAAGAGTTGGAAGGTCGCCTCCGAGATATGCAGTTGATTCGCCCACCTTCTTCGACCAGCGCGCCCAAGGTAAAGACTCCATCCTTTGACGGCACGATTCCTTTCCAAGTCTTTAAGCTCCAGTTTGAGAAGACAGCTACAGCAAATCACTGGAGCATGGAGGATAAATCCGCTGCACTGTTCGTTGCATTAAAAGGACCTGCAGCGGAAATCTTGCAGATTATTCCTGATTGTGAAAGGAACAGTTACGATGCGTTAATGGGTGCAGTGGAAAGACGTTATGGTAGCGAGCACAGGAGACAGATTTACCAGATGGAGCTGGAAAATCGCAGCCAGAAATCCAACGAGACTCTACAGGAATTCGCCTCCGAGGTTGAAAGGTTGGCTCATTTGGCAATTGGAGATGCATCTGGTGAGCACCTCGAAAGAGTAAAAATCCAGAGGTTCATCAACGGAATGCGGGACGTGTATACCAAGCGCGAGACGTATGCAAATCCAAAGCCAACATTTGCTGAAACGGTCTCGTATGCTCAGACACGTGAAACGGCAGCGCTCCTAAGTAGACCAGCCTACAAAGCCAATCGAGTAGAAGTGGAAACACCTGACGTGATGAACGAGATCCTGAAAACACTCAAGTCGATGGCAGGGAAGAATACTCCTGGTGCAACCGAGAGGAAGGATGGTGCTAGAAAATGTTTTAAATGTGGAAAGCCAGGCCACTTCGCCCGCGATTGCAGCGCAAGTTCCAGTGGGCTCAACAATTCAGCAGGACGCAAACGCAGGGCTGAAGGAGACGAAGCCAACTCCAATCAGTCGCTAAACTGAAACGAGCCAGCAGGAAGGGCCGCGTGCTGGCTACAGAAGTTGAAGGGCCCATAATCTCCGTCTCCCAAATTGGCCGGAATGCGAGCAACCTCACTATTGGTGGATGTGTGAATGGGCAGAAGAGAGTACTGACAGTGGATACTGGAGCGACACATTCCATTATTCGACCTGATGTGACTACTTTTTATGTGAAGCCACTACCTGGAGCAAAGCTGCAGACTGCAACTGGTGAATGCACCCAAGTGTTAGGAGAAGTACCATGCGAGGTAATAATCGACGATGTGGCCTCGTACACTAAGTTTATAGTGGCAGACATTGTGGATGAAGTCATCATCGGCGTGGATTTCTTACTTGGCCAAGGCATGAAGATTGACCTCCAGAGAATGATCCTGACAGATCGTCACAGGAAAGTGCCACTTAGGGTTGGTTACGACAGCCAGTGCTGCAGCAGACGGTTAGTCTTAGAGGAAGTGTCGAAGATTCCACCAGAAACGGAAGCGATTAGTTGGGCGGAGGTTGGCAGTGATGGAGACGGAGTGGTTTCGTCTGGAGAAGGAAGCGGTTCACCGATACAGGAAAAGCGTGACGGTTCCGCTAGCTCAGTGAAGAAAAGGTCGCAACAAGGTAGTGGTCATGGCGAGCCAGGCAGTGTTTCCGGCAGGAGGAAAGCCACTGAACCACGTTGCAATGGTAATACGCCGGTGGCCGGAAATGGAAGCGGCTGTGAAAGCAGTAGGCGCGCTTTGAAGTGTCCCGGAAAAGGTGGCCGGCAAAGGCGAGCAGTTAAGCCGGAAGCTAAGGTTGAGATTATGCATGTCCGGTCAATGAAGTGAGCATCGGCGGAAGAGCGAGATACGAAACGACGGCAGAAGTTTCAGCGTAAGGATCCGGATGTAGCAAGATGTGCTAAAGGCAGTGCAGCACGAAGGCGGGAGTCAGGGTGTCATGGACAGATGATGCGGCATATATCTGGCGAAAAGGGTGCCCATGAGAAGAGACATGGTCTGGTCACCACCAGTGGCCGGCAGAAGCACGACCATGTGAGATGGTGCACCACCGGAGATAAGCTGGAAGCAATGTCCAGTAACGCATCGAGCCGAGAAGAGCTACAGGAAGGTGATTCGGTGTTGTTGCACATGCCGCAGCCGAAGAAAGGCTTCACCTCCGAACAACAGCGTAACTGGAAAGGTCCATATAGGATTGACAAACGGCTGAAGGACGCAATGCATCGAATCCAGACAATGGGGAGACCGAGGACCAAGATGAAAGTGGCCACTTGGAAAGACTTGCAGCGGTTGGAGCGGCAGGTGTGTCTGATCGGGACGATCAGACTTAGGTGGAGGGCAGTGTGGCGAATACTGCGGCAACACAAAGCGAACAACGAGAAATAGGCAGAATGTTCGAAGAATGACGTAGAATGTTCCACAAAGAGAAACGTCAAGTTGGATGAACACTGCGAACAGCGAGAGAAAGAGAATGAGCGATAAACTTCAGAATGTTCTAGAGTTGCCATAAGTGCCAGCGCAGGTATATAAGGGCGCCGCCACCGCGAGGTGAGGGAGTTACAAGTCAGCAAGCTACAAGTAAACTGAGCAGAGAATTGAGTTGCGAATAAGCAAGCTATAAGTTTAATTTTGTTAACAAGTAGTAAAGCGTTGTTATTGCTTTAACAAGTATTGTAAAGTGTTTTTACTGTATTAGCAAGTATTATAAATTGTTTGTTGTACAATAAAGTTAATTGTACTACAATTTGGTCATTGTTAGCATTTATTTAACAATCCAGCGATACGAGCCCGAGTATATTTGGGAAATCCCTCAAGGTTTCGAGGATAATCGTAACAGTATTGTCCGACACTGTATATAGATATGATTCTAGTACTTATGTATTCTTAATGTGATCTCATTTTTTTGTTTATGTAAGAAATTAATTAATTAATAACATATGTATATGTATGTTTTTTTTACGTTTCTGGGCCGTTATCTTATCCATTAACGATTTAACTATACTTTAAAATAGGTAAGTTGGCGGCCCTTAATATGCTTTATGTGTTACACAACAAGTTTTTTTGTTGAATAAAATATTAATTCTTTCCAGAGTTTATTGTTTTTCTATATCATTACTTATAGAAAATGTTTGCGTGTATACTTATATATTTATATGTAGGTAAAAAAATTTAGCTACCATTTTTAGCCACAACGACGATTTTTAGCTCTTTTTTAGCCCTTTTTTAGCCCTTTTTTAACCTGAATTTAGCTACCGCTAAAAATGTTTCGCGGCAACACTGATGAGAAGGCACTTAAGTAGTCTCTAACATGGCATCATAATGGGCACACAGTGGATGGGGGCAGCCAAGATAACCTAACCTAAGGACATAAATGGTCATCGCAAAGCCACTTAGTATCGCAAGTGAACCTAACCTAACCCAGCTCAGAACGCTGGAAGTGCTGGGGCAAATCTTTGCCAAGCCCAAATATTAATTGATGAAACAAAATTAAAAAATATATGAAAACATTCTGTGCAAATAAAATTCAAACCCGTTCTCAACTGTTCTTAATTCGTCCAAATATTTATTTGCGTACAAATATATAAATACATACATGCATATGGCCTGTTCCAGTTTTCGATCTCACATAAATTTCACGATTTCAATTTGACTAGAAGTTCTATAATTTTTTGACAAAATTTACGTAAACCCGAACAGCGCCAATGGATTTCACTCGCTTAAAGTTTCTGACTTTTAATATGTTGAAGTATCCAATTTCGTTTTGCAACCACATCCGTATACACATCGGGCAAGTTGCTGCCGCAACCATTCACGGTAAATGCAGCCACACCTATAAGATCACTGCCATAAACTGCCGGACCGCCGGAATCACCTTCGCAGATGCCATTGCCTACTCGTTTTTTAAAGCATCTCATTGATTGCGCCAAAGTACCTATCGCATTTTCACATTCCTCATGGCTGATAGTATACTCCGTATTGTATTTCAACTGTTCAGGCAATGTACCAACGGGTGATAGACCCCAGCCACTCACGGTAACTGACGCACCTTCAGGTACCTGCGTTTTTCCAAGTCTTATATATTTTATTGCCTCGTTGTACTTCAATGGGCTATTCAATTTTAGTATAGCGATATCGTTGGTAAAATTGTGATATTGAGGATGTATTGTTACCTCCGAAACACCCTGTAAAACGCCTCCTTCATCATACATGACAGAGCCCGCACGAACAGTTATATCCTCTGCTGTATACTCGTAATCTTCAACACAATGTGCTGCCGTCAAAATAAAACTCCGCGAAATAATTGCGCCACCACATGTTCTTATCTGACCATTTGCTCTACAATTTAGCAGTACCTGATATGGAAATTGTCCCGATGCTGCCGTTCGACCACCATAAATACGTGACTGAGGCCTTTGTCTATAAACAGCAACATTAGTCTCACACATGACTAATTTTAAGACAGCGAATGCACAAAAGATCAAATATGTTTTGATGGAAATACTTTTCTTTACCATATTAACTACAACTACGTCGATGAAGAGAACTAAGCACCTGACGTTGTTCAGCTATTTCCTAGCGCTTATATGTAAAAGATTCGAATGGAATTTTCAAGCGCATGCATTAATTTATTACCTACGCGACTGACTTTTCGAAAGAAATTTGCCTATGACTAAGGTGAGATAACAACAAAGTTTCCAAAATTCTTTGCTTTAATTGAAGTTTTTAACTTATTAAAGCGTGTGTTAAGTAAATATTCAAATAATGCGTTTCACTTGAATAAGAATACTGTTTATGAATATCTATAGCTGGGAATAAAGTTACTAATTACTTTTGGTGATATTAAGTTCACTTTGCGAGGCTATGGAAGTGGATTTCTGTTCCAGCTAATCCCGGGAGTTTCACAGGACGCTGGGACACTTAGGCTAATTAGACTAATTGTTTTGCAACTATTAGGTCGCAGGTGTCCGCAGAGTCGAGATCAGTTAAAACAAATAGGAATTATTGACCTTGTCAGAGATGGGGATGGTGGCAGACATATTGCTCTACACACTCCACCTCCTCTGCCTCCTTATAGGCACAACAGAAATCGTTATCGGGATGACATTGGGCAGTGCTTTGGCAGAGTTTTGGATCTTTCCTCATTAATATATGGCCAGATTCGTTAAGTAATGGAACAAGTTGGTTCTTCCGTCAATGAAAATATACTTCAGTCGGTGCTTGCACGAAGACAGGGGGGCCCCTGCACCGTGCGCTGAGTTTACGGAGGGAAGGCCAGTTCTCCCCCTCGCAAGCTAGTCTTCCGCGCAGTTTCCCGGTATTTCCCTGTGCCCGGGTGCCCATAACACGTTAATAGTAACTTTGGCTTCCACTTGCTTAAGTTATTTCTGCACTCGGCAGAGATTTAATCTCTGATTGGCTGTCAGAATAAATAGTAACGGATTTTAGAGCAATTGCGCCGCTGTTAATCCATAAGGCGTACTCCCGTATAGCTAATCATTCGACCTAAAAAACGCTGCAGTGGTCAACTTTATGGAGGAGCTTTGACCCGTCCGTAAAGATAGCAGTCGATTCTGTCTGGAATTCTGTTAGAAAAACCTATTTTCTGGAATAGTGGCCAAAATTTTTGAGTGACCTAACCCTGGTTAGGTTGAAGTTGCTGCCAGTGACCTCACTAGCACACATAGGCCCATGCGTCATGGGCCCATTGTGATACCGAAATAATCGTGTGGATTTCGCGAAACCCAGAAGATTCCGTATACCTACCTCGGCTATATCGGTTAGGTTTTCAAAGAATCCTGAACCCTTGCACTTTTTGGAGTGCGTTAGTTGTAGATTTCCTGTTGAGGCCACTATATCAAAACCTCACATAGTAGAATAACCACCGTGTATAGCCAATCCATGATGCTTTGGGACAGCGCCAGCTACGCGCAATCGCCTCCTTGCAGCAGTAGAGGGTTATCTTCGCTTTTTAAATGCGCTTTTGTATATTTTTTGTATTTGTCGGCCACTGTGGTGTAGTGGTAAGCGTGCGCGCAACGCCTGGGTTCAAACCCTGGTCAAAGCAACATCGCAAAAAATATAGAAAAAAGGTTTTTTCTTAACAGCGGTCGTCCCTCGGCAGGCAATGGCAAATCTCCGAGTGTATTTCTGCCATGAAAAACAGCTTCTCATAAAAATACAATCGCCGTTCGGCGTAAAACTGTAGGTTTTTCTGCTTTGTGTGACAACATCAAGGCGCACGCCACAAGTCGGAGGAGAAGCTCGGCCAAACACTAACATATGTGTAAGCGCCAATCTATATTATTTTTTGTATATTCTGTTCCCAGTTCAGCTTTTTATCCATTACTACCCCCAGATATTTTTGGGACTCCCCTAGCTTCAGAATCTTATTGCTTATGGCACGGAACTGAAGTGAGGGAATTTGTAAATTTTTGGAATTTTGTAATTCCTGGTAAAGAGAACCTGATAAGTTTTGTCTGGGTAAACACGCAGGCCTTTCTCCTTTGTCCGCCTTTCGATTAACATAGTTTGTGGAAAATCACAACCATCGCAAGGACATCAGCATACGCAATGACCTTGGAGCCTCCCCGCGCTTCCTTCTTCTTCTTAATTTTTGGCGCTGTAACCGCCTAAGCGGTTTTGGCCGAGTTCAGCAAAGCACGCCAGTCGTTTCTCCTCTGTGCCAACTGACGCCAATTGGAAATGCCAAGTGAAGCCAAGTCCTTCTCCAATTGGTCTTTCCATCTTGGGGGCCTCCCTCTTCCTCTGCTACCACCAGCGGGTTCCGAGTTGAATTCTTTCAGAGCTGGAGCATCAGTGTCCATTCGAGCGACATGGCCAAGCCAGCGGAGCCGCTGTATTTTAATTCGCTGCACTATGTCCATGTCGTTGTAAAGCTCATACAGCTCATCGTTCCATCGTCTGCGGTACTCGCCGTCGTCAACGCGTAAAGGCCCGTAAATCTTCCGCAAAATCTTTCTCTCAAACACACCAAGAGTCGCCTCATCGGATGTTGTCATTGTCCTTGCTTCTGCGCCAATATAGTTAAGAGTGAGGACTCCCTTAAAAAGAGTATACAGCCATTTTGACCTCAGCTCCAGAGATTGCTGCAGCTGAATCGGTATAACACCATCAGGACTCGCAGATTTGTAAGGCTTGAAGGATACTATTTCCCACATTACTTTTTCTTTAGTGATTAGGTCTATCCTAACTGGTTGACCCCTATCTCTTATTGGCTGGTTCAGTGTCTGCTCGGTAGCGCCCGGAAAGTGCGTACTCAGAAGATGGTCCACGGATTCCACTTCAGTTTCCGTACATGCTCCTTCGGGTATTAGCAACCTTCCCGGGGCGATATGGCGTGAACTAAAGAGAATCTTCCTCAGCCTAAAACGTTTTTGTACAGAGTCCAAAACACTGAAAAAGTTACTCCATGAGCATCTCTTGCTTTTCCCTAATAGTTTCTTGTTATCTTTTAAGTTTAACTTATAGATTTCCCATTGCCTATTTCCTCCCGAGGATCTATGTCCCTAGAGTTCCCTGGAATGGATAATGTGGTTCTTGAGAGCCACTTATCAAGTTCTTTTCTGTACTTGTGCCAGTCGGCTTTTCTTATATTTCTTTTGGAAGGCACCGTGGACTTGACCCCATATAAGTCGAATTGGATGATCAAAGAAAATATGCTCATCAAGCACCGACCAGTTGCTGATCATAACCTCCACATCTTCTGAGACGACATCCAGGACCTCTCTTCTGCTCTTCGTTATGAAAGTTTGCCTATAATAGCTCCATTTATCAAGTTGTGCCCTGCCGACTTCAGCCAGCATATTCTAGCCCCTATCATCCAAGGCTCCTGGATCAGGGCGATGTCTTGTGCCCCTTTGGAGAGCTGGAGCAGCAGTGCAGACGATGCTGCTTTGCTGTGGTGTAGGGTAATTTGGAGGACGCGCACCGTCTTGGCCCCACTTTCCCACCCCCTACACTACTGTTGAGTTCCTCTCGTCATCGTCTGACATTAGCTCCTCTTCTGTGTATTTCCAGAAAATGTGGTCGACTCCCATAGAGGATGTTGATCGCGTTTCGGTTGCCCCACCCTATTCCTCTCCGCTTTTGTGGATGCACCTGACCCCGGCAAAGGTTCTCCATAGATACTAGCCACGTCGTGGCTTGTAGGGGGCCCTGCATAGCACTGGCCGCCATCGTGTCTGGGCGATTGCCCTTCCGACATTTGTGCCGGTCTAATTTTTTGTTGTTGTTTTTGAATTTGATTTTTGCTCGTTCACAGTCTTATGAGTCGCAGAGAAAGGGTTCGGCGGCCCCGGGCAGAGATCCGCAGTACCCAGCGTAAGTACACTGCAAGCAACCGGGTGCGGCCTGGTTTCCAAAGGGCTCCGTTACCGACTGGGTTATTTGGGGCTCCCAGCCAGGCTGATTATCAGTAAGGTACGCGAAGCGCCTTGTTCCAGCCCCTACAAAAGACACGATCAAGAACAATTTCCGTATGGCATAGTGATGAAATGCACATAAGCGCTCAGCGCTGATCCCTGATCTTAGCTGTAGTGGTGCCCATTGTTTCCTCTAACTGAACATAGCAGGAAACGAGAAAACAGATGGGATCGCATGCAAGGTTACTTCCGCTCCACTTTCACCAGCCTGGAAGAGGTATGCTTGCCGCTCGCTTCCTACAAGCTCAGTATTATGGAGTTCTTACTAAAACAATAACGTACAAGATGGAAACACTGTAGTATGCATATGTAACACAACCAGGCTTATGTGGCTTAAAATTGTCTCTTGAAATGAGTCTTACTGCAAACAGTAACGCATCTTTTTAGTATGAAATTTGCAGAGCAGACGGTTCCAAAAGCACCACCAAAGTCCACATATGTATTTATGTATATGATTACATCATTTTCTTCTTTTTTTTTTGGAGATATGCAAGTAAATATTCATAGCTTTCTTTGGTACCCAATCTAGTCAATCCATAATGACATTAGGTTTGTTCCGCAAGCTACTTGAAGTCACTTCGAGTTACACATATATATGCATTCTACAAGTAAGTTTTATAGTTTCTTTGATATACGCTCATAGTTTGAACTTTGCTCGAGTTTTTCTACAAGTGGGTTGTGGAACAAACCTATTATGTACTTACATATGTATACATGTGTGTACTTAGCGAAGTTGCCAATCATAAGTTCAAACATTGCAAGCTTCCAAAAATATAAAGCTTTCCAAAAAAAGTTATCTTTTAAGCTTAAAAAAGTAACAAAACATCCATACATTTCGACATCGCACTTTACCGTTTTCTGCACAAAAGCTTTGCTTTATAAGAGTATTACGCGGAACGTCTCCACTCTCTGTTCACTTAAATGTTATATCTCACTTGATAAACGTAAACTATCTGTTATTTCCCTAAGGGCAGACCGTGCGTACATCGACTCGTCCTCAACGC